TCTCTTCCTTCCCTTCCCCTTCCCTCCCCTCCCTTCCCCTTCCCTCTCCTCCCCTCTCCTCCCCTCTCTCATTTTTTGATACCAGGAATCAAACTCAGGACCTGTGCTTGCCAGGCTGGTGTGGTGCCACTGAGCTACATCCCCAGCCCATACTTTATATTTTTTATATGTCCTGCCCATGGAAGCAAATGTAGGAAATCTTGCCTTATTAAATATAAATGCTAGATAAATGCCTTCTAATTTTGTTTGCTCTGGGTTATGATCTAAAAATCTCTTTTAAGTATTATTTTTTATTATTGTTCTGGATGGTTTCCCTACTGTTCTCAGTTAGACCATATATTCTAATTCTAATTTATACTTTGACCTTTCCTGTATTAAGGTAGATTACTGCAAGAGCTTCTGTAGTTACTCCGATGGAGTGCTAATAAAAATAAGTGTCTGGGGTATGGCTCAATAGTAGAGCACTTGCATAGCATGTGCAGGTTCCTGGGTTTGATTCCTAGCACTGCTAAAAAGATGTCTTTAATAGATTTTATTCTGTATTATTAAAATTTTTAAAAATACTTTTATTATTTGATTTCTGCTTTAAAGTTTTTGATTGTGATATCTGCATGAATATAGAATTTGGGCAAAGGGGCACAAACTTACTTAGGTAGCTCAAGCAGGATGGCAAGTTTGAGGTTAACCCTGGATAATTTAGCAAGACCTTGTCTCAAAGTGAAAACTAAAAACAGGGCTCGTACAAGGCTTGGAGGCACATACTTGTAATCTCAGCACTCAGGAGGTTGAGGCAGGAGGATCACCGTGAGTTCAAGGCCAGCCTGCATTATATAAGAAGACCCTGTTTATGAATGAATGAATGAATGAATGAATGACAGGAATGTAGCTTAGTTGGCAGATCCCTGGCCTAGTGTGCTGAAGACCCTGGACTTAATCCCCTGTCTTGTCCTACCTCAAAGAATACAGTAACATTAATGTTAGGGGAAGTAATATAAGAAAATTTAAACAACAATAAATTTTACTTCCTATCACTTTTAAAAAAAATTTTTAATTTAAAGAAAAAGAAACAAAATTCCAAAGCAATATGATAGGAGGGTACGAACGGTTAATACGTTATATATTGTTATCTTTAAATTAGTTACTCAGGGTATGAGATATCAGCATTTAATTGTCCGAACAATTTTAGCACAAACCTGTCTTTTCAGTGAACTGAGAGAAATTAGTAGTATAACTGTTTCCTGTCACTTCTTTTTTTTTGTCTTTTTGAGACAGGATCTCGCTATGCAGTTCAGGCTGGCCATGAGCTCACTTTCTAGCCCAGGCTGGTCTTGAACTTGCAGTGATCCACCTGCCTCATCAGAGTGGTGGGATTACAGGCATGTGTCACCACGCCCAGCTTCTATCTCTTTTAGACGATAAAACTTGTGTGTTTTACAGTGTGCCTGCCCAAGTAAGTTCAAAATTCATGAAACTTGTGTTCCTTCATCTTCTTACATAATTTAATGAAATGAACTTTTGCGTGTGATTAGTTGTGTGTGCTTGGAATCAGAAGGAATGGGCTACTTTTTCTTTTCTGTCTTTTTTTGAGGCAGTGTTTAACGATACAGTTCAGATTGACCTTGAACTCACTTAGTAGCCGAGACTGGCCTTGAATTCACAGTGATCTTCCTGCCTCAGCCTCCCAAGTGCTGGGATTACGGGCTTGTGCCACCATACCTGGCATTTCCCCTTGACCTGTATGTTAACTGTGCTTCTTACTAAGAAATACATTTGCCCTGTTTTGTCTGCTTTCAGTGAATAACATGGCACTTCCTTGCAGGTAGGAAGCCTGGTTAAAATTTTGAAGATGAAAAAAACATTTCATATCAGCTTTTTCTCTAGTTGTGCCATGTCCTTTCTGTAAACAGAGCTCTTACCCCAAAATTATGTTAGGGTTCTGCAGCAACAGAAATGGCACACATGTTTTCTCTCTGGGGTGAAAAACTGGTTTCTTAGGGGATTTTCACTCTCAAGATTGACTTCAAAATTTGGTCCTCAGATAACTAAATACGGATCTTCTCAGACAAAAACACTTGAAAAGGACACAGGTAGTGTTTTAGAGTTCAACAGAATGTTGTGGTCTTTCAAACACATCTGCCATAATTTGAAGAAAAATAGAAAACTTCACTTTTAAAGATAGGTTTGCTTAAAAAAAGATTTGTTTAAATCTGTTTAGAAATATTAGAAACATTTCTAGTGGGCTATCATAATGGGCCATTCTTTAAACTTTAAATAAAATCTTACTATAGATTTACTTGGCTAAAGACATTTTATAAACTGTTTAAATGGGGGGCTGGGGATTTAGCTCAGTGGCACAGTGCCTGCCCAGCAAGCACAAGGTCATGAGTTTGATTCCCGGTACCGGGAAAAAAAAAAAAAATAAAATAAACTGTTTAAATGTACTGATTGACCGACCTAATGGTATTTTGTTTATAAAGTGGCTATAGCCTTTTCTCACTTTTGTTATTGACTATGCTTATTAATTTATTCATTTATTTTTGTTCGGCCTAGGTGTTGTATGAGCTTCCCACCAACACACAGTGGTGCTTTGATATTCAGTGGTGCCCCCGCAATCCTGCGGTCTTATCGGCTGCTTCCTTTGATGGGCGTATCAGTGTTTACTCTGTCATGGGAGGGAGCACAGACGGCTTACGGCAGAAACAAGTTGACAAGGTAAGAGGAAGTGATAAGGCTTTGGGTTATATGCCCCCAATATCATGTTGGATAATCATTTTGAAAATAAATTTACCTACCAGTAGCAGTGATTTAATACTGATTTATTGAATAATTATGATAAAATATTTTAGTACATGATCTGCAGTGAAAGTGCAGTGTAGTTTATATATATTTTTTCCTTTTCAATTTTTAAGCTCTCATCGTCGTTTGGCAATCTGGATCCCTTTGGCACAGGGCAGCCCCTTCCTCCGTTACAGATCCCGCAGCAGACTGGGCAGCACGCGGTCGTGCTGCCCCTGAAGAAGCCTCCCAAGTGGGTCCGGAGGCCTGTCGGTGCGTCCTTCTCAGTGAGTGGATTTTGTTTTTGTGGTTTCTAGTGACAAAGGACTTTTCACAGTAAAATGTCGTTTTAGGATCATTCAGATGATGAAAAGTTGGGTTTGAAATGTATTTGTGTGCTGTTCATTATTCAAAGTGGTTTCCTAGAAAAAAGTGGGGCCATTTAAAAACATATGTGACAATATACATAATATAAAATTTATCATCTGTACCACTTTTAAAATATATAGTTCAAATCCAAACATAATGCCATATGCCTGTAATTTGAGCCAGTCAGCAGGCTGAGGCAGGAGGATTGCAAGTTTAGGGCCAACCGGGAAAATACACAGTGTTGGAGACTGGAGGGATATGAACAAGGGCCCAGCAGGCGCCTGGACTATGCTTCCAAGAAGGACCTTGTTTCTCTGTCCTCCGGAGGGAACGGAGGGACAAAAGCACTACCTGGTTTCCTCTTGCTCCTTTAGCTACTGTTCACTCCATTCACAAGGGCTCCGCCCTCTTTTGTTTGTTTTGTTTTATGCTTAGATTGAATTGAACTCAGGATCTTGTACTTGCCAGGCAGGCGCTTGTGCCACTGAGCTACAGCCCTGGCCCTTCTGCCTTCTTGACTTAATTATCTTCAAAGCCCCATGTGGTGGCATAGTGCTATAATCCAAGCACTCTTTAAGGCTGAGGCAGGAGGATTCTAATTTCAAGCTCAGCCTGGGCAATTTAGCTACTTAGTGAGACTGTATCAGTCAATGTTTACTAGAGAGACAGATACAACCCAAGATATACAAATATGTAAGAATTTTTAAGGTTGGCTTACCACGACCACCCACAGAGTCAGATGAGGAAGAGTACAAAGAGAGGGGGTCTGCACCTGGAGACTGAAGGATGCACTCGCAGGTCTGGAGCTCACTGCAGTGTCCTGTTCGAGTCTGTGTCAGGGTGCCAGTGGGTCTGCAATAGAAGGCTGAAGAGTGCATTGGAAGCCTGGAGGTGATGGTCCAAGGTGAAGACGAAGACAAGAGCTCCTCTGAAAAAACAGAAGCAGATCTGCCCTTCCTCATTTCCATTTCTTTTTTTTTTTTTTTTTTGTCTCTTTGAGACAGGGTCTTGCTGTGCAGTTCAGGCTGGCCTTGCACTCACTTTATAGCCCAGGCTGGTCTCGAACTCCCAAGAATCCTCCTGCCTCAGCCTCCCCAGTGCTGGGATTACAGGTGTGTGCCACCACACCTGGTTTTTTGTGTGTTTTTTTTTTGTCTTTTGTCTTTTTGTTCATTTCCATTTTATACCATCCAGGCAACACCTTGCCCTAGGGTGGGTCGTCTTCACCTCGGGGTGTGGAATTGCTGAGCCAATTTAGTTGAATTTCTCATTCAAGTTGACACAATCAATCAGCCATCACAGACTATCTCAAAATTTTAAAAATGAAAAGCATAAAAAAAGGGGGGGGGTGCTATAATGCAGTGCAGAGATCGTGGGTTGAATCCCCAATACTAGAAGAAAGAAAAGCTCTACTTTTAATGCTGTCATTGGGATTTTACTTTCAAGGTACAAGTTTTGAAGACAACTCCACAAATGTCTTTCTTTTCTGGCAGTCTTGGGGAGTGAACCCAGGGTCTTGTGCTGTACTACCTCTCCAGCTTCTTTTTCTTCCTTTTTTTGAGACAGGGTCTTGCTATGCAGTTTAAGCTAGCCTTAAGCTCACTTTGTAGCCCACACTGGCCTCAAACTCGCAGGGATCCTCCTGCCTGAGCCTCCTGAGTGCTGGGATTACAGGTGTGTGTCACCACACCCAGCTACGTTTTCTTTTTTGACAAAGCCTTGCGAATTTGCCCAGTCTGGCCTCAGACTTGAGATTATCCGTCCTCAGTCCACCCAGTGGCTGGGTTTATAGATGGATGCTGCCAGACCCAGGGAGTAGAGAGCTCTTTACTTGGACTAAGCCACTGTTGGTAGTCTTAGTCTGCTTCAGTGTGCCAAGAAAAAACATTAACTTTGCATGTAGTGTAACTCCAGTAGACATTTAATAAGACCACAGCGTGTGCGGTGCCTGGCTTCTATCCACATACACACACAGAGAAAGCACAGCAGGAGAGACCCCTATCGTCCTTGTACTAAGCATTACAGAATAAGAAAACCAAACTGGTTCTGTGTTTCCTCCTTTTTCTATTTATTTTGTATGAACACATTGATATTTACTTTCTACTTCCTATGTACAAGGCTGACTGTGGGGCGCAGTAACTAGAAGGTGAGTTGCCAAGGTGCACGTTAGTAACTGCAGTCCAGGCTCAGGCTGTGGAACACGGGAGACTGAAGCAGCTAGTGTCGTCCACGTGGGTGACTGTTCAGACCACAGTTCTGTTCCTTTGCGGGGTTATAAGTGTGTTTTCTGGCCCTGTCCTTATGGTGAAAAATGATCTCATTTGTTCTCACACAGTTTGGAGGCAAGCTGGTCACCTTTGAGGGTGTCAAGGTGCCGACTCCCCAGGGAGCCGAGCAGCAGCAGCAGCACCACGTGTTCATTAGCCAGGTGGTGACAGAAAAGGAATTCCTCCGTCGCTCAGATCAGCTGCAGCAGGTTGTACAGTCACAAGGGTTTGTCAGTTACTGCCAGGAAAAGAGTGATGCTTCTCAGACAGAGTTTGAGAAAAATGTGTGGTCCTTTCTGAAGGTAAGCTGGCATTTAAAGTCATTTCATTTCATTATCTGTAAATTTAACTGTACCTCCTTTAATTCTGAATCTGCTTTCCTATTCAGTAATTGTAAAAGTGTGATTTCAGAAGTTCTTGAAATTTAAGAACATAAGGAGCATGCAACCTGATTTCTTCTGTCAGGCTTTTTCCTTCTTTGCTTTGACAAACCTAGTATGAAGTACTTTTTTAATAAGTAAAAACATAGCAGATACAGTATATTTAAGGAAGAAAGACTGCATTCAAATTACAACACAAGGGAGCTGGGGATTTAGCTCCGTAGCACAGCTCCTGCCCGGCAAGTGCAAGGTCATGAGTTCGATTCCAGGTACTGGGGGGGGGGGGAAGAAACTGCAACACAAGGACTACTGCAGTGCAAACCTAAAGTATAAAGCTGCTTAAGGCAAATGGGAAAAGAAATGAGGCATGGAGGTGAGGTTGATGGTGTTTTCATTCCACCATTAAAGAAGTTACAGGGGAGAAAATACATTTTTACTGAGTTGTTTTTTGTTTCTGTCTTCTTGAGATGGCCTCACTATGTAGTTCAGGCAGGCCTTAAACTCACTTTATAGCCCAGGCTGGCCTCATACTCACAGCAATCCTCCTGGCTCAGCCTCTCAAGTGCTGTGACTACAAGTGTGCACTGCTATGCCTGGCTTGTAATGTCTCTTTTCTTTTCTTTTCTTTTTTTTTTTTTTTGGTCTTTTGTGAGACAGGGTCTCGCTATGCAGTTCAGACTGGCCTTGGCTCACTTTGTAGCCCAGGCTGGTCTTGAACTCGCAGCGGTCCTCGTGCCTCAGCCTCCTGAGTGCTGGGATTACAGGCATGTGCCGCCATGCCTGGTTCTAAAAAGGAGCTGTTCTTTTTTTTTTTTGGTACCGGGAATCAAACTCAGGGCCTTGTGCTTCCCAGGCAGGCACTGTGCTGCTAAGCTATATCCCTGGCCCTAATGTCTGTTTCTTAACACTGAATTTTCCAAGGAAAGCAATCTTAAATGCGATAGAGTTAAATTCTAAAATTGAAGAATTTGTATTTTGTAATTAAGTACGAAATCTGCAAATGTGTTTTAGGATACAAAGTGTTTCATATGGGCTATGCATACACGGATCCTTTGGATGTTAGTGTGTATTTAACAAAATTATAGTTGGAAAGGAAGCTTAATTCAACCAGGATAACTAATTACTAATGTACTTACTATTAAAAATTGCTAGTTAAAAAACTGTTCTTGGTTTCTTTTCTAGTGGTGAATCTTCAGGATGATACAGTAGATTTTAGGTATTTTTAGTAATTTTACTTGGAATCTGGTCAATTCTTTTAAAAATTAGGCTTTATCGATAGATCTTTCTTTCAAGACTATATATATGTGTATATATATATGTATATATGTATGTGTATGCATGTATATGTATATATATACATACATATGTATGTATATACGTATATGTATATATATTTGGTTTTTTTTAAAGGTAAACTTTGAGGATGATTCCCGTGGAAAATACCTTGAGCTTCTAGGATACAGAAAAGAAGATCTTGGGAAGAAGGTAAACTATCCTGTTAATAAGCATTTAGTAAGAATTTGTAGCTGGTGAATTGGATCATTGCTGTGATATTAGCACTTCTGAGTCTCAGGCAGGACAACTTTAAATTTGAGGCCAGTTTGGGCTACATAGCAAGTTCAAGGCCCTCCTGGGCCACACAGAGGGACCCTGTGTCAGAAAAAATAAAGTGGGGATGGGGAGAGACTGCTGGAGATGTCCTGGGTTAAATCCCCAGTTGTCCCCACCCTGTGTCCCCCCAAAAGAATTTGTGTTTGGTTGCCAGAGTTTTGAATGCATGTTATTAAATTCTACTTTATACCTGGATTTAGAAACTACCAGAACCATCTTGCATTTGGATTTGTTTGAACAATTGAGCCTTGACATATGTTACCACAAAACTGAGATATTCACACACTGACAGCAGCAGAGTGTGTGAACAGCGGCTTTCTGGGGGAAAGAGGAAGGAACGTTAGTGGTCTTCCCCATGTTCAGGACAGCTTAGGTAATGAGCGCCAGAGCTCTGTCTCCAGTTACGGCAGTTTTCCCTCTACCTGTTCTGATGCCTGCACTGTGGAGTTGGTCTAGCTCATGAGTAACCAATGAATATCTTGGAGTAGAAGTGATGTATTATCCTTAACCCAAGTAAACAAATAGTCCAGGTGGCTTGCTTGCTTAACAGTTTAACTTTTTTTTTTTTTTTTTTTTTTTTTTTTTTTTTTGTTTTTTTTTTTCGGTACTGGGAATCAAACTCACGACCTTACGCTTGCCAGGCAGGCACTATGCCGCTGAGCTGAATCCCCAGCCCCCTAACAGTTTAACTTTAAAAAAAAATTCCCTTCTAAAAAGAAGGAATCATATTGCAGTTTATATTGTTCTTGTCAAGAAATGGACTAATACTTTTCCACAATGTTAATATCAATAGTAGTTTTTAAAAAAACACTGAAAACTTCGAAGGCAGTAATTTAGATCACGTTTTCCACAGTGGTTGTGTAAGTGGTGTGAATTGGGTATCTTGTACTCTAGGGTCAGACAGGTGTCGGATCCCATCATAGCCTTGCTGTTTAGGGCTGTGTGTCTCTGCTTACCCTTCAGAGTTCTTGCATTTTGCTTTATTAGTAGCCTGAATTTCTTTAATGGTGTAACTCTTCCAAAATTTGTAAGAGATTAATATGAAAATTTTATTGATGCTTGGTAGGATATAGAATCTGGTTGTTAAAATACTTCTCACAGTAATTTTTTGCATAGTGAGTACCTGAAAAAATACTTCCAAAAATTAATTTTAGTTATTTTTTAAAAAGTAAAAAAGAAATAACTATAAATAAATATAAACAGCATATATGATAGACTGAGTACCATCTATCGTGAAACATCCAGGAAAACTATTTTTGTCAATGTTGAAACAGACATGCAGTAGCTTTGTCTTTGTATATGTTTATAATTAAATGCCATTTAGCATTAAGAAAATAAAAAATTAAATATTATAGCTTTTTTATTTTTAAATTTTTTGTTTATGTTTTAGACAAGGTCTCATTATGTAGTGCAGGCTGGCCTAGAACTTGTTATGTAGGCCAGGCTGGCCTCGAACTCACTGTGGTCCTCCTACCTCTCAGCCTTCCGAGTGCTGGGATTACAAGCATATGCCACCACTCCTGGCATGTTTGTGTGTTTTTTGAGACAGAGTCTCCCTGTGTAATTCAGGCAGGACATGAATTATGTAGCCTCAGGCTGGCCTCATGCTCTAGGCCAGTGGTGGCCAACCTATGGCACATGTCTTGTTTTAAGACACGAGGTGTTAATATATGAGTTGTTTTTCTTTAAACTAAAACCTCACTATTCAAGTTTAATTGCAGTGTTGGCACTTTGCAGTAAATGTGTAAGTGGATTTTGTATTGCAATTTGTGTAATCATCTCTAAAAGGTTTGCCATCACTATTGAGGCAGTCCTCCCGCTTCAGCCTCCCTAGTACTGGGACTACAGCTGTGCACCATCATGGCCAGTTCTGAAACTTGCATTTTGACAAAAACATAGAAAGGAAAATACTTGTTTGAGATAGTTTTGTGACTGAACAGCAGAACAGGATGACACCTGAAAGAACTGCCTGTGAATGACTAGAGCCACTGAGAGGCGATTCTGCGCAAATGCTATTCTCTGTTACACTGTCCCTGATAAGGACTTTTGTGGGGTTTTGCCAACGAGAATGGATTGAGAGGTGAACATGTGCTATATGCCTTGAAGTCCAATTCCATTTAGTAGGTAAGTTGTTATTTTCTTTTCAGGTTGCTTTGGCTTTGAACAAAGTGGATGGATCCAATGTGGTAAGGTCTTAAAAATCAGCTGCCTTCTAAAATTTTGGGCTAGACCACAACAAAGAAGGAAGTGTGATCTAAGAAGTGCATCTGTTTTGTGCTTCATAGTATAAACGTGTTGATTGTGAAATTTTACTAAGTTGACTATTCTCATTTTGAATAGCCTGTTTCACTGGCGAGCATTGCTTTCTTTTGGCATATTTGAATGTCGTAAGAGGAGGAATGCGCATGGTGATTGCTCCTGTGCTTAAGAGAAAGCTTGTTCATGCTGGGTGACATCTGATAGGAAAGAAGGGGACGGTGCTAGGAATTGTTCTTGCCTCTCCTCTAATGTTCCTGCAATAAATTGACTCGGTGTTGCTCCTTTTGATCAAAGAGAATGTTGTTGGTTGGGTCTTTTGTCTCCCTTGTTACTAATAACCTTTTCATTCTGCATTCTTCAACTTCCTTTCCAATCATTTTGTGTACCAAAGGCTCTTAAAGACTTTGACCAAGTAACACAGAGTGATGGGGAGGAGAGCCCTGCTGCTGAAGAGCAGCTCTTGGGAGAGGTACTTAATTTTTTTTCATATTATATTGGACAAATATGTGATAATTGTGTGTCCACCTTGAAATATGAAAATTTTCTTGCCAGTTTGTTGCAAAATAAAGTTGGAATGTATTGTTTTCTTAGAAATGTTTAGGGTTGGAATGTGTTTACCTAGACCAACAGAAGTATCCTCTCTGAACTCTTAATTCTCTAATCTCGCTTCTGGATTATATGCTTTAAAATTAACAATTGAAGTGAGATTGATTTACCTTGTTTAGAGTACTATTTTATTCAGAAATCTACTTTCGTTGCATGTGAAGGTAATGTTTTTTCTTGGCACGTTAATATGTAGACTCCACTTTAGTGGCGTAGCCTTCGGAATTTGGCCTGGACTCAGAACCCAAGGAGAGGACACTTCACTAACTGAGCACACTGGCACTTGCCTGTAATTCCAACTGCTTGGGAGGCTGATACAGGAGGGTGCCAAGAGGCCAGCCTGAGCACCTTGTCACGACCCTGTCTTCAAATAATGAATTAAGAAAAGGGGCTCAGGATGTAGCTCAGTGCGAAACCCTGGGTTCAGCCCACAGTACTGAAAAACATTTTTTTCCCTAATCTAAACTGGTTGTTCTTTACTGTAAGTATGTCCTTTGTTGTACTTGGTAATTTCTGTAACTAGAAATAGTCATTGAACATGGAGTTGTGTCATTAATTTTTTTTTCCCTTTTGATTTTCTAGGGTTTTTTTTAAACCACTAATGTCTAATTCTGTGATTTACTTTTCTGGTTTTCTAATTTTATTTCATCTTGGAAGATTAATCAGAAACTTCTTGATTTTGTGCTCACCTTTAAATTTTTCCTTGCCTTTTGTGACTTGGTGATATCCTAACTGGTATATTCTCAGTAATCATTTACTAAGCTATAAAAATAATTCACTCATACATGTAGACTACTATATACGGTTATTAAAAATTTTCCTTAGAAGTGAATGTCCTATCATTTATCTAATAAGGAAATAAAATCTTATTAAAAACTTAAACCAATTTTGGGAATATGTAGAGAGAATCAGACATATAAATACTGTACTTTGGGGCTGGGGATTTAGCTCAGCGGCAAAAGCGCCTGCCTGGCAAGCGCAAGGTCGTGAGTTCGGTTCCAAGTACCGGAGAAAAACCAAAATATATAAAAATAAAAAAAAATAAATACTGTACTTTTACATTTATATATAACTAGATTACATATTGTCAAATAAAAGACTTTTGGAATACATTCATGAATAATAGGTAGTAGTAATAGGTATTTAAACAGTAGCCATCAGTGTATACTTTGAGTACCTGAAAAAATTGTTTTAAGGGGGTAAAGTTTTCCTTTTTATCTTGATGATACTATTTGATTGTCAAACATAGTAGCTTACACTATGAAGGTTTGGAATACATAGGAAAATTGTGCATTTTGGGCTTTGTATATGTTTAAGAAGTCTATAAGTAAAGGTGTACTTATTGTAGAAAGCAAATTTGAGAAATAGTTAAAGGATTTTTCTGTGAATTTTGAACAGTGATCATGTAATGTGATTAACTTAAATTTCCAATGGCTTTGAGGTTTTTAGATTCCAAAATGTATTTCTTTAACTGGGGAAAAGGAGTTTGAACTATAGTTAGTATTTTGTAATAGCAGTCCTTAACTGTGCTGTACTCTGCACTTGAATGACTCAGTCCCAAAACCCGGACTTTGAATACTAGGTACTTGCATTCAAGTGAGCAGATAATACAGGCATAGAAGGTAGATAGTTTATCTCCTGTAAAAAGCTGTGTCACTAATCTAAAATCTACTTTAAAAGTTTTGGATTTTTTTTTTTTCTTTTTTCTTTTTTTGAGACAGTGTATCGCTATGTATCCTAGGCTGGCCTTGAGGTCATGGGGGATCCTCCTGCCTCGAGTGCGGGCCAAGTTTTAGATTTTGGACCATTTCAGAATTCAGATGTTTTGGATTAGAGATGCTTAACTTGTAATCTCAGAAACTTATAAAAGAACTGTATATTTTTACCAGACTGACCTGCTGTTCCAGATGTGACTAATTTGAGAGAATGTGAAATGTATAATTGAATTGGATTATATTCAAAAATACTCAGATCTTACCAGTAAAATCTGATTGGTGAAAAAAAAAAAA